CCAGCTTTCTTCACGACCCGGAATTGACATAGTCTGCGCCGAGAATGAATTCGACTTCGGGGTCGACGGATCGAGATCTGCGACGGACATGCCTGCCACGGAGAAATAGGCAGAGGTTGGAGTAGTCGACGCTGAAGATGCCTCCATCTCAACTTCAGTTGCCGAGAAACAACCTGCGAGATTGTCACACGCAAGAGCGAGGGCATCGAAAGATTCTAAGCCTCTAAGGGTGAGTCGTAGTGCAGCAGAATGCAGTGACTGATCTCACGAGAGTAGTGTAGGACCGCAGCGGGCGTGTCTGGAACCGCCGCTTCTATTTCATCGGGCGATGTGCCGATCATGAGAGATGTGTATCTGCTACTCTCAAAGCATCGACTTGTAGGAGTCGACATCCTGGAGTCTGTGTCTGGACGACAGTCATGAGGCTACTAGGGGACGTTCATAGAGGCGGTACTCTACATACCTGTATCGCTCTCCGAGAATCTGCTTGGCGAGTGAAATTGCTCGCTTTGAAGTCTTGCGCGAGCTGTTTTAGACGAAACCTGTGGGTCGGGGAGGGAACCGAAGGGGTCAGTGTCTACTCTAAAAGGTGTATTGAGCGGGTACTCACAATTGCATCAACCTTATAGCCTAGGCAGTCACGAGCCCAGTCTCTACACTCGCCGAGACTAAGTTTGGGTCGAAGCACGATGTCTCGAAGTTGGCCTTCCAGCCTGCCAGTGCCTAGCTGCTCAACACTCTCGCTGCCACAAATCGTAGAGTGCTGACTCACGTCGCCCCAAGATCTGCAACGTCCCTCATGCTCTGATCCTTCTTGACGTATTCGGGGTGATCCTTCAGGACGGCGTCAAAGTATTGTCCGCCCTCGTCGAGACGGATGCGGCCGAGGTAGAGATGGTGTCGAGGGTGCCATCTTCTGATCGGAGTAAGCCATAGTGGAAGTGGTCGGATGTCAGAGTCTGACGAGACACGGGGAGCACCACTGCGAGTTCGCGAACTGGGTTTGGCCTTGGGCTTTGTAACGGGTTCAGCTTGTCCCGCTGGCGTCGGCAGGTCCGATGCTTCGGCGCCTTGATTGGAAGCAGAGCTACCAGGAAGGATCTGAAGAGAAAAGAACCGAGGCATCGCAGACGTCCAGATGCAATTAGTAGGAGAGTTTGTGAGTGGGACGGAGTTCAAGGCGTTGGAGGAGGTTTAAGTAGCAAGTACGTGAGACCTAGGGCGCGCCGTGAGGTTCGGTTGCCGACCTGATGACAGGGATGCGCAATGCATAGCCCTCTCGTGAGTTGCCGGCAACATGGCGGCCACAGAAGAACATAGCAGCTAAGCGATTCGCATGGGTGCACCGAGGGTGGGAGTTACCAGTAGTAGGTGTCACCATGACTGACCTGAACTAGATTGAGATGAAGGGCGTGAGCGTCTGAATGTGACGTGACGTGGGAGTTTGGCCCAATTGTTTCCACGTGTCGCCACATTGGTTCGCGCCTGGAGGATGGGGTCGAAGTGCACTTTCAGGGTCTTGCTCGGTGCATGCTGCTAACACATCGTCCCCCCGCATCTCTCTGTACGTGCTCGCCCACGCCTTATGGCCTCACCCCCCGACATGGATGAAGACGAAGCACGGATTCGGCAGGGCCTACTCACAACACGGGAATTCTTCTGGCGAGATCACTATGAGTGGCTACAGCGTTCGGGTTACCACCTTCGTCCACGTTATGCTCCGGACTGGATCCCGTCTTGGAGGGGCACGACCAAGTTCTATCGTTCTTGCGAAGATGGCATCATCCCCAGGGTGAGTCTGGCTCATCTGAGAGAGGAGAACAGATGCTAAGTCTCATCTGAAAGACGACGAAGGTTATGGACGCCACCAGAGTCGAGGACGGTGAGATGGTCGTTATCAAACGGTACTCCAAGTCAACACACCCGCACGAAAGCGACATCGCTTCATACCTCTGTTCTCCCGAGCTCTCGTCCGATCCTCGCAATCATTGTTGCCCGATTCTCGAAGTGATGGAGGATCCTCTCGATGACGACACCCGGTTAATGGTAATGCCCATGCTTCGAATGTTTAACGACCCTCCCTTTGCGACGGTGGGTGAAGCGGTTGAGTTCTGTCGCCAGACATTTGAGGTATTGCTATTGAATTCTCTATCTACGCGTGCCTAATCCCACCGCCTTGCAGGGTTTGCAGTTCATGCATGAGCATCACGTTGCCCACAGGTTAGTGTTCCTGTCCCCTATCTACTCTCATCCCTTTGAGGTAATACCCAGGGATATATCGATATTGAACGTGATGATGGACTCAAAACCCATCCTCCCGGAAATGTTCCATCCGCAACGAATATGGAGGCAACTTCATGACATTCGGAAGGATATACGTCCCTACACGAGAACCGCCCGTCCAGTCAGATACTACTTCACCGACTTTGGCCTTTCACGACGTTATGCTCCCGACGATGCAAATCCACTGGAGGACCCAATCATTGGGGGCGACAAGACTGTTCCAGAGTTCCAGAACGACCCTTACACCCCGCGCAATCCCTTTCATACAGACGTATACTACATGGGGAACCTAATCAGAGTCACCTTTCTCCAGGTTTGTGCTCTCTCGCATTACACATCTCGGCCTACTTGTACTCACGCACAATTCTTATAATGTAGAAGTACACGAATTTTGCGTTCATGGAGCCCTTGATCACGCGCATGGTCCAGGACGAGCCCGACAAACGGCCGACGATGGAGGTGGTCGTCGCCGAGTTCAGAGAGATCATGAAGAATCTCTCGTTCCTCCGGAGTCGTGAGCGTCTTGCCAGGCGGAAGGACTCTCGATTCATGAACATACTTAAAGACGCGCATCATCTGTCCGTGCACGCGGTCCCTAACTTGCTCGCTCGGCGCCCTCCAATCCCCACTCCCAAGGACTAGCTTCCTCGCTCGCCCGCCGTCCATCTAGCTCTCGTTGGTTAACGCATTAGTTCACACGCTATCTCCTGGGTTTGGTTCCGTTGTCATGCCACTGCTGCCGCATCTACCCCGCACGCTACATCGATGTTGTCTATTGTTGTCGCATTCATTGTTCCAAGACGTCCAAATCAGTATGTCATTGACGCGCGCGAAGTCCCTGAAGTTATGTTTTTCGCAGATGGCGTCGTCGGTAGCACGTCCTGTGCAATCCTTTGTACTCGTTGTAGCAGATGTGGGCGCGTTCCTCGCATGTCGTTGACGTCGCGTCGCGCTCGATTCTACTCGGTGGCTTCGGCTTCGGTGACAGCTACCGATCGTGGAGGCTCTAGGTTCAGGCTGGTATTAGCAGATAGGCATCACAGTGGAAAGGCAGGTGCAGGAGACACGTGAACCTCGTCTGGGGAGAGCAGGCACTGCGGCGTTCCACCTCGCACCTCTGGCAGAGATGACGGTAGACCACACCCAGGGATTTCCAGAGCATATGTGGCATGCGTTGCGGCCGCGTATAGTATTATGAGTGCGTCTAGATCCGCGCCCGCACATCAAGCCCGACGACAGCTGTAACATCTATGAAAACCGTGTGTACATGAGATGAGCCACAGGTGTTGAGTGGCAGCTATTGGCAGTACGTACTGGCTCTAAGCCTCATGGCTGCTGGACAATGATGCGCGGACCACGCGCCCGGCTTGGCATGAGGTTTCAGAGGCGAATGTTTGTAGTGACTTGCCTGGGCGAGCTGCAGCCAGGGCCAATCCTGATATCGCGAGTCGCTACGGATGTCTTGGAGACCGTCTTGCGATGGTGGAAACTTGAACAACTCGAAATGGGTTCCCAAAGACGTCGAATCGGGCGGATCAGATGGAGCAATCCTCTCGGGCTAGAAGGGAAGATAGGCGCGTAAAGGGAGTTGTGACAGGACGGAGGATCGCCATGGTTGGATAGTACAGGAACACGTCCTATCCAAATCGGCGATGGGAGGTTGAGGAACACTGATGCTCTCGAGAGCAACCTCTGACCTGGTCGATTGTCAGCACCATCGTCACGATCCAGAGGTCATACAATTCGGACGACATCGTGACGTCTCTCCCGACACACGAGAAGCGAATGAGCGAAGGGGGTAGAGGCGGAAGTGCAATCGAATACCAAGCAGCCACTGTGAGGGCAGGCACGGTCGAGTTCAACGGTAGGGGGCTTGTCTTGGAAGGTATCGATTTTGATGCGGTGGCTGGACAACAACGCTGTGGTGGGGATGGCAAAGTCGTATCGTGTCCAAAGAAGTAAGCTGTCTGTACACCTGGTACTAGTACTCATCCATGGATACGTGGAGCGAAGCCGGCGGAACGGGACAGACGGACTATCAGACTTCTCTGGGACGTTCCGTGCGGGAACGTGCAGCTTTGGTCAAGTAACAAGTTCGCACCTTGCTCCATTCCGGAGTCTTGTCGCTCTTCCGCGGACACTCCCTCCCGTGCTCATCGGGAGCAAGGCCGTTGCCTTGGACCGATGACATACGATACACTCGGAGGTGTCAGGATCAGCAACCCAGAACAAATCTGACAAGGATATGGGCCAGCTTACGCGTGTATCATGCGCCCGAGAATCCTGGTCGTTCACAAGACTACATCATGCTATGGACGCGTCGGGTGCATCTGCATCATCAGACCGATCCCACAACACGTTCAGCATATCACACTTACCGGAGGAGCGAGTAAGTAAGGTGTATTCACATGACCTTGGGGCGCGATCGAGAGCTTCGATATTCTGCGAGTATGAATCTGATGATGCATGAGAGTAGAGTGACGCGACTTAAGAGTCGACAAACGGCCGATGTCAACGGGATATGAGGACCAGAGCGTACTAGTACTTGCCCAGAAATACTGCCAATCTGCGCAAAGAGACCCATTCGCCGGCGATGAAAATCCGACGCGGCTGGTGGAGAGGCCGCCAGCAAAGGGCCCAAGTACAGCTTCGAGGCCAGGAGGCCTTACGGATCCTCTGCTATACTTCGATATTTAGTGTTTGCTCCTTCCCTGTATGACACTATGGCCGAGTGGTTAAGGCGACAGATTCGAACTCCTTTGATTATCTGTTTCCCTCTGGGAGCGCAGGTTCAAATCCTGCTGGTGTCGTTTTGCTTAGCGCCTGGTCATGATCTGAAATCTCTCAGAACGCTTTCTTCGTTACGCTTGGCAGTACTGACTTGTATTCCAACTTGCTTTCAACGATCTATGACTCTTCTCCATCCCTGTACGTGTCCTGCAAGCAGCCTCCGACACTACGACTAAGTATTGCTCCGCCAACGACCCGGACCTCCATGGCCGTGTCGCTGAAGCTTGAAGACTGCTTTTCGGTCGACCACGAGTACCCCATTCAGATGGAGGAAGACTGGCAGTATCAATGGCTCGAGGCATCCCGCCAATATGACAGTCAACCGTGGATTGTGCGCATCCTATCTCACGTCTGCATGTTTGTTAACTCAAAATTGACTCACCATCGTGGCATGGCGAGGTCCTCTCGCTATGATCTCGAACGACTGCGTGTGTATATATCATGTTATCAGACACACGGCCCTCTCCTCCGGTGCGAAATTGACGGCATGCGCTCAACAAGATAGTGCTAGTGCAAATGGGATGGGATGCAGAGTCGGAACTCAGTATTGTTGTTCATGCTCCCCAGTGCCAGCGTTATTGTCAAGCGCAGCAAGGCGTGGGGAGGTGGACCTACAAACGCATACAGCCGCGCAACACTGCCAGTGAGCGCCCCGCCCCTTTCGACTCTCCAACTCCGTCCAGCCTTATACTCCGCCCATCAGAAAGGCGTCCTGCAATTGTCACCGGCCAGTCCCGCACGCCAGGTCAGACTTCTCGCGTCACAGACCTTGTTTAATGTTGATGTTTTTTGTTGTAGACGGCCCCCAGACAACGCTCAGGACTTCTGGTTTCCATGCTGCCACTCGATTCGCTTCTTGCACAACAATGTCTCCAGGCGGGCTCTGGGCCCTTGCGCGCGGACCACAGAGCACCCTTTGCCGAAGGGTTCATAGCACGAGGCGTATAAAGCACATGAGACATGTCCGCGGATTCTCCAGGATCCCCACGTTCATCTCCCCCCTCCCCTCAGGCTCAGCTTGTCGACAGCATGAGCTACGGACTCGACTTATCTCCGGCGCAGGCGCCTCTTAATTGCTTTGGCTCTATAAGGGTTGTATCCCGAGACAGACTATCATCTAGAATCCTCGCTCGACTCAGACCACGACACTACAGGAAGACGGATTACAACGAGCGACTTAGACGCGGTGATTCCCATATGACCGAGGCTTGGGAGCTCTTCCAGGGCTGTCAGCATGTGCTTTCGCTTGACAAGCGTCGCAACATTCAAGCGCACCTCGACGGGTGAGCATTTTCTCCATCATACACACGCGCCATGCCTCGGCTCACCTGCACCCTCGCCAGGCTACGTATCGAGCGGGATAGACTAGGAAAATTCTCCGACTACGGAGGATTGCAGAAGGTCGAGGAAGACGCTGTATCTCGCGCAGAAGTGTTCATGGAGAACGCCAGTCGAGTACGTGCTATGGCCGCAGTGAGTAGTTCTTGTCGTGCATCGTCCTGCTGTTCGAATCTCACAGGGCACCTCCATCTGCAGCAAGCGCGAAAGAACTCTCAGCTGTCTCTCCCAAGCCAGCATCCTTCCCATCCCCGGGCATCTAGCACGAGCGTCCATCGGCCTAGCACTGGCACACCGGCGAGCCGCAGAGTGTCAAGCGAGCAGGGCCATGCCTCTGCTAAAGGGACTCATTCATCATTGTCTCGAGTTTCCACTCGCAACAACGAACCATTGGAAATGAGTGAGTGTTCGGATCATCATCATCGTCCAATCAATGCTGAGTGTCTTGTCTCTCTGCAGTACAAACGCGTGCGGGCCCTGTACGCTGGAGCCCGAGTCCCTCGCACAACGCACTCCAACTCGATCTCGGCTACAGGGCATCACCACGCCCCCCAACGATGATGTCTACAGGAACACCCATGTGCAGCATACTCAGTCTCGAGATGCCATTGGCGCAGTTCTCCCCTCCGCGCATGTCTCCAGCTTCCCTCGCGCACGGCTCATCGCCCACCGACTCCGTTGGTGCCTACTCGCTCGGCTCAGACGGCTTCCCGAGGCCCAGCCGCCGTACGACCGACCGCCGGAGCACGATCCAGACGACGACGAGCATGTCCCGCTCCTCCGCATCGCGGAAGTCTACCCAGCTGTCGGACAGGTCCAGGACCGGCACCCACTCCAGCCTCCATCGCCAGAGCGTCGAGGGCGCGGCGCGGCGCTCGGGTTCTGCTTCGGGAAGCTACCAATCCCAGTACCACCGGCCTGCTAGCCATGACGGTCATGGGCAGCGCGCGTACACGCGCACGCCGACGTCGCTCAGGACTGGATCCGTCCCCACTAGGCATGTGCCTATTCCTGGTACTCCGTACTACTGAGGTGCATTGAGTTACGAACCGCGTGAGTACCTCATACCGCCGTCACGCCGCCTTGTATAGCTGACTCCTTGACAGAATGCGTGTCTGCTCATAGCGACACCAGCTCCCGCTACACAAAGGCGGTCCGAGCTGTACATACGTCCATCTAGATTCTGTCCCATACCCGCTCTTATCGACCACTAAACCCAAAAACCCTCAAACGACAACGACGATGACAACATAACTGCCCCCGACGCTCACGACAACATACCACGCTTGTCACGATCTGTATCGACTAGACGACAACGACCACGGCTGCACACGGTAGCTGGGATGTATTACTATACGACTGTATATGCCTGTAGCTACTCACGAACTCTCTTGTATACGATCAGCGAATAAATTACGACCTCCGGAGCATTCTCCGGCACCACGCCCACGCGTCGTCGGCCATACTGCTCCCCCACACTCGGGCTTCGTCTACTAGACTGTCGAAGCGCTGCTCGCGCCAGGGCGAGTCTGGCTCGCGATGCTCCGCCATGGTGAATCGAAGCACGTCCTTGACAGTTACGAGGCCGACAAGCGCGCCGTAGCTCTCGACAATGATCACTCGCGGCCTGTGCTTGTGAGTCAGAAAGGGCACAAGCGCAGTCTCGGATAGCGGACGTACCCCATGCGCTTGAAGAGCTGCATCACAATTTCGAGTGGTAGCTGAGGGGACACCGTAAGGGGTGTCTGTAGGAATAGGCGTTATGTCAGGGCGACGCAGTGTCTCGTAGAGTTGATTCGTCCGTACCTGATTGACCCATGGCCATAGCTTTAGTACGTCTGGCGTCGCCGTCGTCTCCATAATCTCCATCGAGATGTCCTCGTCGATGCCGACCGCAGGTGCAGCAGCCACGCCGGAGAACTCGACTTCCGCCTGATCTTCCGAGTCCGACGCGAAGGACACGGGCGTGTCTGGGCGAATGTCTTGCATTTCTCTCGCCTTCTCTGGAGTAGCGTGTAGGTCAGATGAGATCTCAGGAGGCCGACCAGGGAAGTCGTACCTAGGATATACAGAAGCTCCGAGCGGTCTATGAAGCCCATGAGGATCCGCCTGTCGTCCGCAGAGATGATCGGGAAGCCTTTGACATCCGTTCTCGAGAGTACGTTCTCTGTAACCGTCGCGAATTCTGTCAGAGCCATGACAAACAGGCAATATGAGGGGGACTCACCGAGGTCCCGGACTGTCAGGCCTGATACTGGCAACGTCTGCAGATCCATCCTCATGACCTGGGAGACTGCAAATGGGGTGAGTCAGACGACGCGGAGTAAGCAGGAATACACCAACCTGGGACATTGTAGGCATGATCGTCCTTCTCCAAGAACGGGTATCCGTTGAAGCGGATCATCTCGTCAGCAATACCAGTCGTTCCCAAAAAGTCGCCGACGGCTTTCGTGACCAAGAGCACAATCTGTTTCCGACGTGAGCCAAGCAACCGCGAGTAGGAGACGTGATGCCATACCATAGTGGGTAGAATATAGGTCAGAGCACCGGTTAGCTCGAACATGATGACGACAACGGTAACAGTGAGCCTCATCACGCCACTAGAAATGTCGATGTCAGCTTGGTCACTGGGGGAGAATGATGATCGAGCAACGAACCTGAGAGCGGCTGCCGCACCGAGCAAGGCATACGTTCCAGGCGTGATGCATGGGGCATCAGGCGGGCACACGGCAAACATCCCGGACGTAGGATAAGCTCTGCCACCAAGGTCAACTTCTAAAGATCACGAAGGATGGGAGGCTTACTGGTATAATGCCTTGACCATGATGCCGAGCATGCGTCCAAAGGTAGCGCCGATAGCCATGGACGGAACGAAGATGCCGCAAGGCACCTTGCACCCATACGAGATTACGACCAATCCCAAGCGCAACACTGTTGCGAGGAATAGAGAGTTGACCATGGGCCACTGATACATTGTCCTAGGACATTGTCAACGAATGTCGATGACGGTGCTGCAAAACAACTGAACGCACTGGCACAGGTGATCATAGTCGCTTGCGCCGTCACATTCTCGGAAGAGAATGGCCATGCTTTCGGTTATGTCGATGCGCATGAAGTGGTTGAACCAGCCAATCATGGCAGTGATCGTAGCCAGCGTGACCGCCTCTGCAATGGCGTGCTTCCCGAGGTACTGTTTACGGAAAGCCGTGACTTTCAGGTTGAACTTCACCATGAAGTGGCCGTAGAGACCCTAGTCAGACTCCTCGTCAACGGGACTATCCATCGGGACATAGGGTTGGCCTTACTCCGAAGATACCAAGGATGATGAAGAATATGATCTCGAAGAAATGCCAATCTCTGTCGTACGTGACTTGGAACAGTACGATCTTGCCACTCCGATATGGATTCATTGCCTATTATCCCGTTAGGACGTGATGCCATGACGTTGTCCAGCTGCTACTCACAGCCAAGGTGACCGTCGCGACCAATGCGCAGAGGAAGCTCCTCCACATGGTCTTGATACTGAATACGCTGCTCATTTCCTGTAGGATATCTGTCGTTAGACGTGGACGGTGGTAGACACAAGCGAACAGACCTCGATAGAGAACAACACGCCTCCTATTGGGGCACCGAAGGCGACTGCAACGCCTGCAGCACTTGAGGCCGTCAAAATCTCACGCAT